CTGCCACTTCTTAAGTTCGCGTTCACCATACATGTGCACGCAGTAGTCAACTCTGAAGTTACCTGCGTCATACACACCGCTTTGATGCACCTTTCTCTACATTGCTGTGTAAGATGACATACTCATATGCAGTAGCCAACTCTGAAGTTACCTTCGTCATACCTTCGTCATACATACTGCTATGTAACGGTGTAACACATCCTTGTCCTTGCGAAAAAAACAGTCTAACAACCGTGTTGTTCCATCTTGCACGATCGTGCCGGTCTGAAATACAGTCTCGCCGCTTTAAAAATCTACCGATATTTGAACTTCATTTTACGAAATTACTATTATCGTTCAAACGTCTCTCTCTCTCTCTCTCTCTCTCTCTCTCTCTCTCTCTCTCTCTCTCTCTCTCTCTTTGTGTAAAAGAAATACAAAAGAAACACCCCTGTTGTAGTATAAAATTGCGACTGCACCCACCACAGATTATTCTCGGAAAAACGTTTGGCCTTTGAAATTTTGTTTTTTACAAAAACGAGGAACAATATGAACGGTCTCCATGATGGTGTCAATCGTTATGACGCTACTGTGTTGACGACCGTTTACCTTCTCCCATTGCAACTTTTTATAGCCTGTTGTGTGTTCCCTTTCGCTATCCACCTCTTTGTACCATTGCACAAAACAACACTTCAACATCTCCGCGACACCCCCTGTGCAAGTGTTCATGACGAAAAACATGGCTACCGATGCATACCATATGTTGTTATTCCCGCCTCTCACTGCAACATCGCTGTGCACCACTCTCCCGTGAAACTGTGGTGAAGCTCTTGCCGTTTGAACGCCTGCACCCCTGTGGGTCCCGTCGTGTGTGGCGCGATAGTCAAGTGTGTTCGAGTATGTATCACTTGGTCATCAGATGGAGGTTAACAGCCGTTCTCCGTCATGAACGTCGTGAGCGCAACTCGAAAATCCTCTCTGCAGGGAAGCTTGTTAAGTATTCTTAACGCCCCGTTGCTTATACCCTCCACCTCCGGCAAATAAACTCTGTCCATCTGGAACCACCGGAGTTGTAGAGTTTCTGTGTCGCGCGCAGCGAGGGTATTAATTTCAGTGGCCATACAGTCTGTCACGGATGACCAATTTTTTGCCAACCTCTTTCTTCGTTTTCTCACAATCTCCATCTCATCCAGCAAAGCCAATGAGCGTTGGATATGATTCACCATCTGGGAAGCGGCCTTGCGCTTGTTCGATGCCAGGTATGGCTCTTTGCAGAACCTCTGATGATGATGCTCCCACACATCAGCCGCGAAGGTGTCAGGGACACCGGATCGCTCTATGCATGTTCTCAGATGCATAAGGTCGTGCAACTTCGGAATTTTCCAATCCGAGGTTTGATATTTTCCCATCTTCGTTTTTATACTCGTTATGAAATCACCTATCAATGCGTCACATACATCGAGAGAAGTCGCAGGGTGGGTCGACTTACGAAACACATGTATGTACATTTCCATGAGTTTGATGAAACAAGCGCAAATGGATTTGCCGCATTTGGGATGATATCACAAATAATAAACACGCAAACTGTCATAACAGACCGATTTTGCTTCGCTTCAAAACGTCCTTCCCTTGAAAAGAAATCACAACCTGTGGCTACGGGCAACACGAGTTGCGGGTATGTCCTCACACATCTCTCACTGATGCTCTGCAACCTCGCATCCATCTCGTGCAATATCTCGGTTTGCACGATATCCGGCAACTTCTTATAAGCTGCTGCCTTGAATGAATCTATCATATGCAAGAAAATGTCGTGTTCAATGGTGTGCATACGGTCCGGTTGCAAAGCGAGATGGTAATCTAGTTGAGGATCGTCACCATTCGGACCCTTGTAGAATCCCAAAGGCCGTTCACTTAAACATGCTTATGCATATTCAATTCTGACATTCGTGCCTCTACGGCACGACGAATATCGTTGTCCCCATTGTTGAAGTAGTTCGCAACAAGTTGCGTCTCTAGCGTCTGCGACCTCCTGCAGTTGCTGAAATCGGCGATGACATCGAAATCATCTTTGGACACTGTGCATGTTGGACAAACACCGAATTTCACAATTGCAAGGGCACACCTTTCGGGATAGTCTTGTACATAGTTCATGACGAAAGGGTGGACTGTTATCTCGCCGAACCGCTCTATTGTAACTATCATCCCGTCATGGGATGCCTCCTTTGCGGACCGCAATACTGTTGACAACGCTTTATGCAATATCACAGCTTTCCGTTTTCTAAACGCGGTGGAGTGCAGACCCCAACCCTTGTCACGTGGCCGATGTGGAAGCACAGGAAGATACGCAAGGAGTGTGGCGCCCGATGCGCTATCGGCTATTGACATCATCAGAGGATACGCTGACTGCTTTTGACGACCGTCTACATGAGTCTCGTCTAAATACAGAGACAAAGGGATGACATAACGTGTTTTACCATTCGTGTCCACACCCTTGTCCGCTCTGATAACAGTTTGGACATGGTGGCTCAACTGGCCCGTGCGAGAGCCACATATGTTCATCCCCTCCCCGGGAGGTTCTATTTCGAGGCAAGAAACCGTTTCAACGTTGTGCAGTGCAGCACATACAAGATCAGCGAACGTTGTGCGCCAGTCGCGGTACCACAAAATGGCGTGCGCTTCTTCTGGCCAATCATCAGTGCGTAGATTGATCTCTTGCCACCCTGCAGCCTCAGCCTAGAGGCTTGCCCATGTCAGACACTCACGACTGTTATGAAATGCGGTATCTCTTGGGTCGAATCTAGGATTCTTGAGGAGTGACAACAGACAATCAACGTCCGTTTGGGACATGCCCACACCGCCCCTACATGAGAAAATCAGTGCCGCAAGTTTGCGGGAGCTGTCGAATGGCTCTGTGTGTTGTTGTTGCTGTTCTTCGGATGCGCAGTCTGCTTCTACATCGGGAGCGGGCTCGACCTCCTCGCTTTCCCCACTGACCAGATTAATGGGACCACTATTTGACGGTCCACCGATAACCCCCCCAACTATCTCTTGTGTCGTCCTCCTGTCTTCCACAGCGGATGCACATGCCCGAGCTCGGTGTGAGTTCATCGTCCGTAATGACATGAAAGGCCGCCCACAGTCACACACGTGACTCGCGCCATCCATTGCAACCACGTCCGAGAAATACAAAGTGATGTCACTTAATACCTATCGCAGATGGAGCATGAGCGTTCGGTGTGAAATTCATGAGTTCCTTTCATACTCCCCCCGCCCCCTTCCCCCCTCTCCCTCCCGTCGACTGGACACCGCTGATGTGCAGTGCTGACAGGTTCCAAGACAACGACAACATTCCAAGCGGTATTAAAATCAAGAATTGTGGTGAATGTTTCGCTCTTTTTTTTTTTTTTTTTTTTT